ACTTTTTATTGTTTTATAGTTTTATAAACTACCATATATAAATTTAGAACTTCTGTGTTAAGAGTGCCCCTGGGTTCAATAATAGATTGCTCCTGGGTTTTCAATCCCTAGCACCAATAAATAAATAAGTATATAATAAATAAAATTATTTAAATATTTAAAATAATTTAAACATTTATAAATACATAATAAAGAAAAATACTTTATTCTTATCCAGTTTCATATAGGGAGAGTTTTGTACTTAAGATTTTCTTTTTTTTATTTGTTATTTTTAGATATAAATGACATTATGGTGTATCTTGACATATATATACATATATACATACATGGGGTGCATCCCATTACAATTTTGATCCAATTCTTGTGGTTGAACATGATGTGGAATCATACTGGTCATGTATTCCATATATGAGCGTTGGAAAGTTATGTCCGATTCATTCAACTGTCTTTCCTATTCCTTTCACCACTCTCTTCCTTTCATTCCCCTTTGTCTAATCCAATGAATTTCTATAATTTTCCTCTCTAAACTCTTTTGTTATGGGTTAGTATCCATATATCAGAGAGAACATTTGGCCTTTGGATTTTTGGGACTGGCATGATATTCTCCAGTTCTATCCATTTACCAGCAAATGCCATAATTTCCTTCTCCTTTATGTCTGGGTAATATTCCACTGTGTGTGTATATATATGTCACATTTTCTTTATCCATTCATCTGTTGAAGGGCGCCTGGGTTGGTTCAATAGCTTGGCTGTTGTGAATTGAGTTGCTATAAACATTAATGTAGCTGTGTCACTAGAGAATGTTGATTTTAAGTCCTTTGGGTATAAGCCAAGGAGTGGGATGACTGGGTCAAATGGTGGTTCCAGTCCAAGTTTTCAAGATTTTCATTTGTAGAGGATATGTTATGAATTTGGATGATTTGGAAATTTACCTTGCCATGAGCTTTAATAAGCAGAACCTCCTAAATATGTTTCACTTAATTTGACATTCCTAATTTAAAGACAAAAGCCACTGTGGTGTTGGTGTAGTCTTGGAAATATTGTGTATGACTTGTGTGCAAAATTTCTACATTATATCCAGATAAATCTTTGCCTTTTGAAATGTGGGAAAAAATAAGCATTTAAGAAATACTGGTTAAGGAAAGAAAGCTACTGATAAGTTACAGATAAGTGCTATATCTAAAGATAGTTGTGAAAAAAGTTCATTTAAAAAAATCACAAGGGAGATATCTATAAACAGTGGTTCTAGTCAGAGACATGAAATAATGGGGATTTTTTAAAAACTTGGGATCTTTTGAAACTCATTTCTCAATGAATGCTTTATATCTAACTGGATAACTGTATTTGCAAAATAATATGTTGTGTGAAACTCACTAAGTGCAGAGAAAAATGTAAAAGATGAAGTGGCTGTCTAATATTTCTTGTTTCACGCAGAGTTGTTGCTTGATAAGTACTTATCTTTGGCTTAATTAAGGAAGCTTATAATTAAATATTATAATATGTTTAAATATTAAAAAATAGGGACTGGAGTTGTGGCTCAGTGGTAGAGTGATCACCTAGCATGCACAAGGCACTGGGTTCAATCCTCAGCACCACATAAATGTAAAATAAAGATATTGTGCCCACCTAAAACTTAAGAATAAGTATTTAAAAAAAATATTAAAAAATATTCAGATGTACCATAAATTGACTTAAAACACAATTAATTTCAATTCATTATTTTGGTATTGCTTTTACATAGTTTTTTAACATAATTTTTACATCATAAATTTTTTTCAAACGGTAAACTAGAAATTTTATTTTACTAGTATCTAATTGCAATATGAACGATTATTTTTGCCTGTTATAATAGATTAAACTTTCACTGTTTTCCTAGATGTTTTTAATCCAAATTTTATTATATCCAAAGAATGGTTTTAAAAATGCTTTATTATGTAGTATTAAGTAGTTTCTTTGAGAGAAATGAAGGTTGTACAAAAGAAAAACACAGAATTTCACATTCTTGATATTTTATAGAGAAAAGATCTTGAGTACACATTCCTTTAAGCCTTAGAGTAACTTAATACTTTCTCCACATTGCTACTGTTACTCTTTACTGATACTTATTTTCACTGCCTTATATTTAATTGAATGAAATTTTATTTTCATAAGTGTTTAATGGCAACTAAATAAATTTTTGGTAGAGTCAATTGTACATTTTCTTTAACAGTTAACATAAAATTGAAAGATGTAAGCAATTTAATTGTAAGAATTGTTTCAGAATACCATTTTAGAAATCAGTTTGCAGTATTAGCAACATCACTATTATATGAATATATGCTAATGTAGGATGAAAGAAGAATCCTCATTAAAAATCTGGTTGCTAAACAAATAACAAAAACCTTATAAACAGCTTGAGGCTTTGGGTCAGTCACGATTACTCCAGAAGAGATTTGGACAAGTGTGAAAATATATAGGCTATGCCTTTAATGTGATCAGAACACATAAATACTATCTTCCATCAGTTCCCTAACAATGGCATTTTTAATTAATATTAGGGAAAACATCTTTTTCCCCACAGTTTTATTGGTGCATTATAATTGTATGTAATGGTGGGAATTGTTACATTTTCATGTATACACACAATATAACAATATAATTTAGCCAATATCATTCTCCATTATATCCCCTTTCCCTTCTCCTCTCCCTCTTCCTTATCTCTTTCCTCTACTAATCTCCCTTCAGTTTTCATGAGACTGACCCCCGCCCACAACTTTCTTTTCCTTTTTCCTTTCTAGCTTCCACTTGTGAGAGAAAACATGTGACTCTTGACCTTCTGAATTTGGCTTATTTCATATAACATACTGGTCTCAAGTTCCAGCATTCTTATTTTTGACTAAAAAGGTAGACTTTTGATACAGTCATTGTGTTTGCTTTCCAGAAAAGGACTGAAGTTTGGTCAGCTAAGATAGTTTTTTTTTTTTCTTTGTTGTTTTTAGATGACAGTAGAATTTATTTATACTGTACATGCACGGAGTACAACCCTGTCCAATTAGGATCCCTTTCTTGTCGTTATGCATAATGTGGAGTTATATTGGTCTTGTATTCCTATATGAGCAAAAGAAAGTTATGTCTGATTCATTCTGCTGTCTTTAGGATATTTTCTTTAGGCAGCATTCACGATGCTATTACCTGTCTCCTAAGTAGGTATAACAAGATGACAGTAAGGGTAAGGTGGTACAAAGGAATCCTCCTCCTTGTTTATCACCACTACCAAACATGGCAGTTCTCTTAAAGAAGGGTTTAGCCAACTTAGTCAATTCTGGATTAACTTTGTGTATATATTTCCTTTGAGTATTGCACATGCTTTTATTTGGGAGATAATCTTAACATTTTGATGTGGCATTGGAAGTAGAAAAATTAACATGTAGGAAAAGAGAGGAATTCCAGAGTGAAAATTAATGGACTTTTTGATAGCCATGTGACTGCTCCTTAGTGTTTCCACTGAAAGTGAATTGGCTGCAGGTCTGCTTTGCTTTTGGAATTGTAGTAAGTTTGTAGTTGAAGGACATGAAGGAATTTCCCTTGGATTGTGTGACCTGTATGCCTGGCTTATCTGCACAGGAGCATTTATAGTTGGGAAAGAAGATATTCAATGAAGTTAAGTCTATCAGGCTGGCTTGGGAATGAAATTAAATAGTGGGAGTGCTAACATTATATGAACAAGAAAAGCAATGGGAGCTAATTCTGTGTGACTGTGAAGGGGAATAGTACATATCACACATGTTATCATGCACATTAAATTATTTGAATTCAAATCATTTCTTGCATCCTTTGACCTTGTTCCTATTCCATATTCTTTTTTTTGCAGAGTGTAGTTAGGTTGCTGTGGGTACACATCTATGCTATAGTGCTTTTGTTCTGGTAAAGTCCTTCTAATGAGTCTTTTACACACTTAACAAATCTCAATCATTTTTGGTTGTTTATGATTTAAAAGTATTTTTGTTACTTATTATAGTATGTAACTCATGGAGATTTCTAAAGTTTCCTGTCTGTGTTTTGAAAATCATAAGTAATTTATGTTCCTCAGTAACTGGAAGGATAATGCATAACTCAAGGAATGAGGGAAATCTTGATCATATAAAGTTATAAAAGATATTAAGGATTTTTTTTTTTCCTTTTGGTCTACAGCTTCTTTGTGAGACTGATGTCGTGTTTTACAATCTGAAATGGAAATGGCTGATTACTTGATAGCAAGCAGATTAGAGATAGCACAGCCTAGAATTGGATCAGCCAGTGTCAGAAGAAAGGGCCAGAATAGTCCAGGAAGATGGCTGCAAGCAAAAGCACACTGTAATGTGGAAAGGATAGTAGGATTGATTCTGACCTAACTATAAGACAGAGTAGCAAGTGGCCCAACTGTGGGGAGAATATGGTGCCAAACTTAAGTTGATAGTCCTGAAAAGACAGATACCAAAGATGTTAGTGCTATTTAAAAGGTAAGATAGTGGAATGGGAATCTAACAGAAAACCATTTGAAATTTCTGGGGAATCAAGAGTTGACTTGAGAATGAAATATTAGAAGTTACGGTACCATTACAAGCTTATTTAAAAGAAAGGGGATCCTTTCATGCCATCAGGTTGGGATCCACCACCTCAGTCATGTACTGAGAAGATATACTAAGCCTGGACATCAGTGTCTAGAAACAATTTCCCTTTGACTCCTTAAGTATTTAATTCCCCTAGAATATGCCCTTTCCCTACTAGAAATGCTTCTGAGAATCTACATTCTTTCTCACCTTTACCTCAGATGTCCTGTCTCCCTTATCTCAAATATCATTTATTTCTACAAAGTGAACAATAGTCAACTTATTCTGCCTTTTATTAGTGTGCATGTCTTTTGTTGAACACGTACTATGTGCAAGGCACAGTTTATGTAATATTGTTAATAATTTAGAACTATTAAAATTTTATTGATATAATTACAAATTATATTTCTGTTTCCAACTTTTAAATTTCAGATTTTACAAAATGTTGCAAGGACTCTGGCATCCTCATGGTAGTAAAATGCCAGAAAGAAAATTCTGCATTGAAAGAATGTCTAACTGCTTAGTAAGTAGTTACTTCAGTGTTTGTGTGTGTGTGTGTAAGAGTGTGTTACTTAACTCATTACAGGTAATACATTCTGTACATCCCCTAACCAAATTCTTCACCTTTTTGGCTGAATCTAAAATTACAGCATGTTGAAAATTTATTCTAAAAGGAAAAAACCTTGCATATTTGTTAAACGATTTTTTCAAGTTGTCTGTCAACATTGTGTCTGATTAAAAATATGTCAGCAAACAAAAAATATATGACTTAGCATAACACCTAACAAATCTCTTTTTGTCAACAGGTTGATTTATAGAATTCAGTATAGACTGATTTTTTTGTTTATTTCATCTAGCAGAAAGAAACTGAATTTAGAATATCTTTATATTGTGATTTATATAATTTTAACTTTTAGAATTACAATAAATCACATGAAAAACACAAAATTTAGATTTTTTTGAAGTTAATCAATTTTTAAATAGCATTTTAATGTTATATTCACCAATATCTCATTGTAGTTCCTTTAGACCTGAAGTGAAAATATGCATGCAGGTGCTTTCTGTTTTATCTCTGTTCTATTATCCACATTATTGACAGATAATATTGCAGAATATATTAAAGTACTATTGATACTTGTGAGATCTTAATTTTGGCAAGCTCTTATTTACTTTTATACTCTGCTTTTCAAGCCTCTGAACTATATGTATGTGTCAGTATGGCTTGATCTTTCTTAGGGGACTAAATAAAATAATAATGATCTGAATCCCATATTTTTAAAATAACAAATTACATGTACATAAACTTACAGGTTTAGAATGCTATAGATGAGACTGTAGAGATGATCTAAACTCATCTTACATTTATAGATGAGGAAACACTCAATATTCATTTTTTCTCAAGTTAATATCAATAGCAGCTCTTTACATCTGGGCCAGAAACAGTACTAAGCACTTTACTGTAAAAGAATTCATTCTCTGATGTATTGTTCTTCCAATTTTGTTGCTGGTGCATCTAAGAGATATTTAATAAATAATCACTTAAACTTCATGTGTCTGAACTTGTTTTATATATTGATGAAGAATTTTTTACCTCTAGTTCAGTCATCATAATAATTACCTTGACATATTATCCCACCCTCCAAATGGGCTGGTTCTAGAGCAGAGTAGACAGAAACACAGACTGCAGAGAGGGCAGCCTGAGGGCATCCTGAGCTCAGCTTCTGAATCAGTGAGTTTAGCTAGCCTTGTAAACTTGGACAAGATCCCTCACTGTGAGAAGGGATGCCTCTCCTGGAGTGATTGTGAAGTACTCTATGTGAACACATTTACCCCGGTGCCTAGCGTACGAGGTACTCAGTAAATGTTAGCTCTTATTGATCTGTACTTGTTATTAGATTGGTATTTATTTTGTTACCTGAATATTAATCATAGGAATTTTATTTCACATCTGCTAAAAACAGGAAATAATAGGTTCTAGTGGATCTGGGGAAGGGGTCTAGAGAGAGGCAACTGCTTCTGTTGGTTTAGAAGAGAGAGAAGCAGTGAAAGAAATAAAGGATGTGAATGGAAAGTTATTAAGAGAAATTGTACTTTAGATCCAGAATACTCAAGAAATATTGTCATCTTTGAGTAAGAAAGTCTCTGCTTTGTTAATTACTATTTGACATTCCATGAATGTAACCACTATTCTTAGTGACATCTTGAAATGTTAATGGTTTGTGCTCCTTTATTTCTACCTCATCTTCATTTATTCCTTGACATACTGTGATCTGATTTCTGCCCTGACTCTACTGAAATCTTATTCCTAAAGACTCTAGTTAAATCAAACAAATAGTGCTCTTGGACTTGACCTTTCTCTAGCAATCACTTCTATTGTTTGGATATTTTGATTCTCAAATATTTCTTTGTACTTCCCAATCTTTTTTTCCCTTAACCTACTGCTTAAAGTTCATATTTCCCTGGGTTCTCCTCTCATTCTTAATTCTGAAGAAGTTCAGTTTGTACCTATGGATTAAATCACTTATAGATAATGAAATTTTTCTGCTTTCTTCAGATAACAAACTGAACCTGACTCCCTTTCGCTCTACCCACATCATGGGTCTTTGTAAATTAGAGAATTGTCTGCTAACTCTAATTGGTGAGTTCCTATTTCTCACCAAATCTAATTTTTTCTTTTCATTTTTACAGCTGCTCATTTGGCCTAGGCCCTCATTCATTCTTGCCTGGATTACTCCTGATTCTAACCTTGCTGCTGCCTTTTAGCCTATCTGCAATATGCTGACAGATTCATCCAAAGACACAAAATTTTCTGTTCATCATGTTCTGTTGCCTTCAGGATAAATTTTAATTTCTTTGTGTGGTATAAGTGGCCCATAATTATTTGGCCTTGAACATTCCATGCTTGTGTCAGGCCCTTTCTGCTATGTGTAAGCCACTGTAGTGGTAGCAGTCACCTTGCATTCTTCATGCATCCCAGCTTTTCCTCATCTGTGCGCCATTTATATGGATTTCTGTTGGTTCTACATAATTCATCTTAAGCATTTCTTCATGACTTCTTCCTCATGTTTCTGTGCTATCCTGGGTTGTATCTGTCACAACAGTTTTTACACTTAATTTTGTTCAGTCTTCACTTGTCTGCCCTGTAATACCATAGGTTCTTTGAGGATAGGAGCTGTGCTTCTCATTGCTCAAATCTGTGATAGTACCCTGTATAAAAGAATCTTTGTATTAATATGTACAGTTAAAAATAGAATCTTTAGGTCTATATGTTTTCATTAATTTGATAACTTAATGTTCACACTGAATTTGTGACCAATATATAAAAGTTTACTTCTAAATAAAAAAGTCTGCTTCTGAAGATTGAACCTGATGTACTAGATATCTGAATATCATTGTTTACTGCTTATAATTAAAATTGAGATTTTCATTTCCTTCTTGTAGCTACAATGATCCAGCTTTTTATGAAGAATGCAAAATGGAATACCTGAAGGAAAGGGAAGAATTCAGAAAAACTGGAATTCCTACTAAGAAAAGGCTACAGAAGCTACCTACAAGCATGTAGACAGATATTAAAATGACAGGAATCTCATATTCACAAAAGTCTTTTATAATATAAATCATCTGAAATAATGGACTCGAATGTGTTTGCTTTATTCTAATTATGAAAATAATTTATAAGAAATAAAGATCATATTTCAAAGTTGATTTATTAAATATGGGATGGGAGTAAATACTGGAATGAAATATGGTTTTCCTGATCATTCTGAATTTTTCACAAGCTTTTCCACAATTATAGTTCTATGAACAGTGCTAATGATTTCCAGAGTTCCACATGGACTTTACCTTCTTCCATCGTATAGGGAAAAAGCTAATCATAGGGATCAAAGTATTAAATGAAAGCAGAAACCTTTAAAGGTGTTGATAATAACTAAGCAGTATAGCACAATGGCTAGGAACCAGAATATTGAAGTTTAACAACCTATTGACTGTTTGCAACTGTCAAAATGAATCTCAAAAGCTATTGTGAGAATTTGTTGAATATAGCAAGTGTATATCTTGTATGGGACAGTGCTCCAGATGTGGTAAACACTTTCTAATTGGTAGTGTTAGTAGTACGTAGTAAGGCTTATCTGAAAGCATAGATAAGTATATATATGTATTTTACTTACATTCTTTGATGGATTTTTTTTTTCCTGAAATTGTTTTTTGATCAAGTTAATTATGTTAATAACTTGATTATTGAAAATACTTTTTCTTTTTAAAAACTCATCCTTAGGATGAATAAACACCTTGTAAAATAGTGGACTCAGAAAGTTAGTGTAATAAATTTCTGTCCCAATGCCATAATTTGGGCCCAGGCTGATATTATATTAAAAAGTCATCCCCCCCACCCACAACCCGAGGAGCTATTAGCTGTGCACCACAGCCACTATAACCAGTTTACAGATAAGTAAATTTTCTGTTTCCACATAGTCCTCATTAAAATCAAAACCAGAAACTTAATTACAAAACAAGATTTAACTTTGGTCCCAAACCCATGAAATAGCTGACTTAGGGGAAAAAAAGGACTTAATAATTTAAATGCAATACAATCAATGGATGTTCAAGTTCCCACTTTACTCATACTCTTGAGTTAACCACTCAAAAAATGATTTTACTCTTATTTGAAATACAAAGGAACTACACTTTTCCCAGGCCACAGATCAAAAGGAGGGAGATTAGTAGAACAGACAAAAATAAAGCAAATATCAAAATCTGGAGTCCACACAGAATAGGGGCTAATAAGCCTATATTCCTCTGTTCACCTTCTGATACTGGTACATTTCCTAAAGTACAGGACTGTCATTCTTTTTCTTTTTTTTAAATGACTCAAATGGAGAAAAGGCAAAACATTACAGAGGCTGGAAGAAATATACAGTCTGTGACTATTTTAATGAAAATTAAAGTAGCCAACTTCAAATTTTTGTTTTTGTTGGTGTTGGGGATCAAATCCAGGGCGTTGCACAAAGACAACTTCAAATTTATGTGGAAAATTAGCTTATATAGATGTCACATCCTCCATAGGTGCTAGACAAATTATACAGTATACTCATCCTTCTTTCTCATAGCAAAAATGAACCATTCATTGGAGACTTTATTCATGCCTCACCACACTCAAGTCTACTTATTGGACTGAGGCAGTTGTACTTTGCTTGCTTACTGGTACCTTTGTTTATATTCTGTCTGTACGTGACAATTCATAGGATGTTACCCTTTAAAATTTACCTTTTCCAAGTAGCTTTTCTGGATAAAGATTATAACTTTCCTCCACATGATTCAATGAATTTACTATTTATTTGCTAATGTTTCACATAGGTATGTCACTACTCTACATGTGAATTCAGTTCCATTTTGGCAGATAGTCAATAAAAGAATCTTCCTTTCAGAGAAATAAATTCTACCTCAAGCTAATAAGAGGAAGGAAATGTAGCTTTTTTAAAATTATTTGTGTTCTCTTTATATTGTTGGGTTATAGATGTGCTGAACTCGGTTCTTACAAAAAGAAATCTAAAATTTTTGGAGTGTTTAGTTATTATAAGAGATCTACATAAAAGTTTCCATTTTAAAAAGATCGTAAGCCACAGATGGGCCAGTTTTATCATTTCTTTTTGAATCTTAATGAGAATAGATGATATACTTAAAATTTTCTGTGGGTAAAATATTTTTGATTAATTCTTCTTACTAAAGTCTTATGCACATTTAACACTTAAACTATTAAGAACATCCTGATATTCTTAATAGTTTAAGTGTTAAATGTGCATAAGACTTTAGTAAGAAGTAATTCAATGACTGTTCTTAATAGTTTAAGTGCTAAATGTGCATTAGACTTTAGTAAGAATAGCATACCTGTTTGATTGCTATCATCACTGTCTTTTGGAGGGAATTTTCTCCACTCAAAGTCAATTTAACAAGACAAATGTCTGTTATACGAATCAAATTAACAACTAACAATCAGTACCAGACCTTGTAGTATATAAGCAAGGACATTATTTCACATCCACTTCCATTTCAAACAAATATAATTTTAATTAAACAATTTCTTGGCATTGTTCAAAACATTAATCAAGCCATTATCTCGTAAGACTGACTGACTTTACGAAGGGAAATTTCCAATTATGGTTTTAGAAAAGGCAAACCAGTAAGCCACATTAGAGATTAGAGATAATATACAGCCTATGCAGCCACATGAGAAATAGTTTATGCTGCTTTGTTATTACACAGGTAGTTGCTTCCTTCAGCTAAAGCCTGGAATCTTATATTTGTTTTATGCATATTGGGTTTTGTTCTATTACTTGGCAGAAGACTGTACTCCCTTGAGTCAGCTGTGTTCGCTGGTCAGAATAAATTCCAGCATCTGACTTCAATTCCATTAATCACAGACAAGCTTGAATAAGTGAGTAAGATAATAGAAAGACAAAAAGAATGGTGAACATTGTCTGTGTATGCTATTCAATAATATGGAAAAGATCTGTGATACTCTTTTGAATTTAAGATATATGAACTGTCTATCAAAAAGGATAAAGTCCTTCCTACATGAAACACTGTATCCTAGGCAAAAGGTGTATGAACCAAGTAAAATATTATTACTATTATTAATATTTCTATCCTGAAAGAATTCAGGTCAATTTTCCTGTGAAGCCACCTTTGTTATTTCCTCACTTATTTACAAATGACCTGTTAGAATGAGTTTGGGGATATTTCATGATTGTACAATATCAATGCAGCACAAAATTTATTTCTAGAGTGAAATTTTGTAATTCAAAAATCACTTTCTCAAGTACTACATTTCAAAACAAAGTCTAATAATTTATAAACTGCTTTATACAACAAGCAGCAATATTCCCTTTGAAGAAAATGACTATACAGTTATACACATTTAAATTTTCATTATGGACCACCAGAGGGACAGATTAGACTCAAAACTTTAAAGATGCTCTTTCTACTTCTAATTGAATGGTGTATAAGGTTATAATAGTTTATTCACATACCACATAGTTTGTAACTATTTCATCTTTTTATCCATTTAGGACTTGAATGTACTGGGACAGAGCTGGCTTCAATGGTCATTTCAAGTCTTAGAATTCAAATTGCAATTCTAAAGTATGATTATTTAAATCTTAATGTCTAAAACACAATACCATAGAGATATAATGACCTAGTCATTTTTATTCCATTATGATATTTCTTATCTCTATGCATCATAAAGTCAATAGAATATTAACTTATTTGCATTGCCATTTGCTCCTTTATGCATATCTGAACCAGTGAACATGGTTTTTTCCCTGTATTCAAGGCTTCCTTTTATTTTTATGGATAGATGTCTAGGCCTTTCACACACTTCATAAAACCATGTCTAAAAATATCCAGTTCCCTTATCTGCGAGGCAAAATTTTACAATTGTTATCAAAGGTAGAATTGTCTTTTTGAAACACCTTAAGTTTATAAATTAGTACAGTAGCACATATCCGATTCTTAGAATATGGAGCTGGAGGTACTCTTCTTTCATACTAGAAAATCAACTACATAATATCGTACAGTGTGTTTGAATGTATATACTGAAGAACTCTGCAAAATTTTAATCAAAGCCCACTTTCAGTTTGTTAAATAACTTCCTTGGAGAACCACTGGGAGAGACAGTGTCCTCATGATCAAATCATGAATCTCTTCAGAATTAATTCTTATAAAGGCAGTTTTGATTATGATGATCCAAGTAATGCAATGGTGGTAGGTTGGGTAAAGGCAAAGTTTTACTTTTAGTTTCCCCAAATGCTGTCTCACTTGATTTAGGAGGGCTTGGGAATACCCAAGAATTATCTTCCAGAGAATTTCTGCCGTAAGAGTTGTGTTCCTGAAAGTCTGTACCATCAGTAGGAATGGATCTCTCATTATCTGTCCATGATTGGAGAAGTGCTTTCTCTGATAAAACCTTTATATCTCCTGGTAAAGGAGAAGATGTAGTATGACAGAGAGCTTTGCCATTTGGTGACAGAGGGGGATGTCTTTTGTATGTTGCAGTGAAATTTGTCAAGTGCAGTTTCGCTCCTTCTTTCCCAAGGTCTTCCATGCATCCTATTGGTGTGCAGGCTAAAAAGAAAGCACAGGCTAAATAAATGTCCATTTTCATGGCATTTGTGATCATAAAATATAATACTTCATTAGTCTTGCTAAATCCTAGAAATGATAATGAAATTCACATTTTCAAGATACAAATAAAGATCCTGTTCTAGGCCATTAATGTGACTAGTTGAAGGCTTGTAGATCATTTGTGTGCAAGTGGGGACTGAGAAAGCTGTTCTTAAGTTTTAGTTAAATATAATATTCCTTTGCTTATTCAAGGTTTTTCTCCATGGATATTCCAATAGTGTTTTTTTTTTTTTCAGAAATAATTCTATTTTTAATTGTTAGGAACCAAATGAAGTTTTAATATACATTTAAAGGCTTTTTATAGATAAAGCAGTTAAAATAAAAGTTGCAAATTAATTCTATTTCTTATTAATAAACCTATAAGAGCAACTGTGAATTCTGCTGTGGTCACAATACAGGTCAAATCTTTTTAAAAAAGGAAAAAAAATGTTTCATATACATGCAATAATGACTTAAGAAAAAGACCCTATTTGGCCACAGCCAGCAATTGGTAATATGGGCTTCCCCTCTATTTCT